GTGATCATTGTTGTTTAGCTGGCACGGGCTAGATTTGAACCTGACAGCTCTGGTGTATGTGGCTGGTGCCTTAGCTGCTTGAGCTACAGAAGCCGAGCCACATTCTCTTTTTATTTTTTTGAGACAGAGCCTCAAGCTCTCGCCCTGAGTAGAGTTCCGTGGCATCACAGCTCACAACAACTGCCAACTCCTGGGCTCAAGGGATTCTCCTGCCTCCACCTCCCAAGTAGCTGGGACTACAGGCACCCACCACAACGCCCGGCTAATTTTCTTTGGTAGGAGTGGTCATTGTTTGGCTGGCCCAGGCTGGATTCAAACCCGCCACTGCAGGTGTATGTGGTTGCCACCTTAGCCACTTGAGCCACAGATGCTGCACATTCTCTTTTTAACTTAGGACCCTAACTCCCTTCCTTCTCTTACCTGGTGCCCTTTATTTCCTTCTTAGTTATCGCAATTGGAATGAAATACTTGGCTACTTGTGTATCCTCTACTTCCCCAAATACATGGTAAAATAGTATAAAATTACATATTTCCTGGTCTACCTGCTTATTGTCTATCTCTAGAATGTAAACTCCATGAGGACATTATTCACCAGCACCATGTGAAATGTCAGCTTCTCAGATATCACTAGAACAGCCTGTTGAAAAGACAAAGCTGAGTTTATTCTTTCCCCTTTATAGTCTGACTGACTGCATCTGGTAGGAAGAAGGGCAAGCCCATCATATTTATTGAGACTTTAAAGTCTGGTTGTTGTGTGTGTGAGGGGTGGCTTTGTGCTGGGGTGGTAGGGGCAGGAGTGATTAGGGTGAAGGACATGCTATGATAGTTTGGGATGAACCTAGCCAAGGGAGGATGTTGAGGTGAGGGTCTTCAGAAAGTCTAAAGATACGAACTTTCCATTGCTTCTTTCTTTCTTTCTCTCTTTTTTTTTTTTTTGAGACACAGTCTCACTTTATCACCCTCAGTAGAGTGCTATAGCGTCGCAGCTATAGGGGGCCTAGGCGATTCTCTTGCCTCAGCCTCCCCAGTAGCTGGGACTACAGGCACCCGCCACAACACCCTGTTTTTTTTGTTGTTGTTGCAGTTTGGCCAGGGCCGGGCTGGAACTGGCCACCCTCAGTATATGGGGCTGGTGCCCTAGTCACTGAGCCACAGGTGCTGCCCATTACTTCTTTCTATTGATGAGTTGATTAATCATTCAAGAAGTTCCTAGAATGAACGATAAAGTTAATTTGAGGGCTAGGTGTGGTGTCTCATGCCTCTAATCTCAGCACTTTGAAGGGGCAGGGTGGGAGAATAGTTTGAGCCCAGGAGTTCAAGACCAACCTAAGCAATAGGCTCTACAAAAAGTTAAAAACAATTAGCCTGGCATCACGGTATGGGCCTGTAGTCCTAGTTACTCATGAGGATGAGGTGGGAAGATCCCTTGAGCCTAGGAATTTTTTTTTTTCATCAGAGCCTCAAGCTGCCACCCTGGGTAGAGTACCATGGTGTTACAGCTCACAGCAACCTCCAAATCCTAGGCTTAAGAGATTCTCTTGCCTCAGCCTCCCAAGTAGTTGGGACTACAGGAACCCACCATGACACCTGGCTATTTTTTGGTTGTAGTTGTCATTGTTGTTTAGCAGGCCCGGGCTAGATTCAAACCCGCCACCTCTGGTATATGTGGCTGGCGCCTTAGCTGCTTGAGCTACAGGCACCAAGCCAAGCCCCAGAATTCAAGACTGCAATGAGCTATGATCACACCACTGCACTCCAGCTTCGGCAGCAGAGCGAGACTCTTGTCTCCAAAAATAAAAATAAATAAAATTAATTGGAAATGTTCAGTTCATCTCAAATAATAGTTATGCTACTGAAGATTGAGGAATAGTCTGTCATATTAATGTAGATAGTAAGCTATGTGAGAGTACAGGCAGTCCTCAAGTTATAAACATTTGGTTTATGTATGACTCACACTTATGAATAGAGTCTATTACAAGTGCTAGGGAAACCTACCTGTTCCACTTTACATACAAATTCAACTTAGCAACAGACCTACAGAACCTATCTTGTTCATAAGTTGGGGACTGCTTATATGTGATTTCAGTTCTCAACCTATAGCAGTTCCTTGGACATAATAGATGCTTAATTAACATTTGTTGGTTGATTGAACTGGTTAACAGGTGAAAACTCTTTTAAGAGAACAGGGACCATATATGTCTCCTCCTCTGTTAATATTCAGTGCCTAGTACTGTGGCAAACAAGGATCACTTAATAACTATTTCTCAAATAGACAAATGCTTTATTTGGGATTTTAGTGGTTGACTTTTTTTTTTTTTGCAGTTTTTGGCTGGGGGCTGGGTTTGAACCCGCCACCTCTGGTATATGGGGCCGGCGCCCTACTCCTTTGAGCCACAGGCACTGCCTGTGGTTGACATTTTTTTTTTTTTTTTTGAGACTGGGTCTCACTTTGTCGCCCCAGGATTCAGTGTTATGGCATCATCGTAGCTCACAGCAACCTCAAACTCTTAGGCTAAAGTGATCCTCATGCCTCACCTTCCCAAGTAGCTGGGACTACATGTGCCCACCACAATGCCTGGCTTATTTTTCTATTTTAGTAGAGATAGATGGGGTCTCACTCTTGTTCAGGCTGGTCTCAAACTTCTGAGGTCAAGTAATCCACCCACCTCGGCCTCCCAGACTGCTACCGTGTTTCCCTGAAAATAAGACACTGTCTTATATTTATTTTTTCTCAAGAAGACACACTAGGGCTTATTTTCAGGGGATGTCTTATTTTTAAGTATAATACAACAATCTACATTTATTCAAATACAGTTAAGTCATCTTCTTCTGGAACATGACAGGAAGCCGACCTTGTTGTTGGGGCTGGCACTAGTGATGCCTGAACTCCTTTCCCTTAGCTGTTTGCACTTGTGCAATAGGATGCCGGCAACCGTGGTTACTACACGCGTACCCGCAGGTTGGAGAAAGGAGCTGTGGCAGATAAAAGGTATTCCAGTCTTCTTACTGCTCTGCACCCAAATGCATGTAGATATGCATAGCCACGCCCATCACTGGGTCTTATTATCAGGGTAGGGCTTATATTTAACAGATGCATAGAAATCCTGCTAGGGCTTATTTTTCGGGTAGGTCTTTTTTTCAGGGAAACACAGTAGTTGGCTACTAAGTGACTTATGGTAAGGTAGCTGGGAGTGTGTACAATGTGAATAAGTTCGATGAAGTGATGATCTACTCACATCTGGGTGGGGACTGACTAGGACACTGCAAGATTTCATCATCTCCTTTTTTTGGGGGGGAGACATAGTCTGACTCTGTCACCCTGGGTAAAGTGCATGCTGTGGTGTCATCATAGTTCACAGCAACCCTAAACTCCTGGGCTCTTGTAATCCTCATGCCTCAGGCTCCTGATTAACTGGGACTACAAGCACC